AAATGATGCCATTAACTCACCACTTTCCCCACCTTTTCCACCAGAATCTTCTTTTTCATGTCTTGGCCAGTCCTAATTACTAGATCTAGCCCCATCCCTCTGTATCTTCTACAACTTCTCAGTTTCTTTCCCTTCCATCTCAGCTTGACTCTGTACCTCAGTTTCATTGGTTTCTGTCCTTCATCTCAGTCTCCTTGATGACACCATCTGAAACCCCCTTTAACTTTCATTTTCTATGCTCTCTAGATTCCTTATTGAACTGGTAGTTTTGCTTCAACACACCTGCTTTGTAACTAATTAGGCACAATGTTTAGGACCAGCAAGGAGGACATGGCACAGACTTTGTTTTCAGTTCAGACCTGGGACTTATTTGGACTGAGTTTGGAACTGCAGCCACAGGACTTGCCAAAGCTTAAATGCATCCAATACATGTGGAATGCTGAAGATCTGTAGATGTCTACAGAGATTATGCAAATTGAGATTCTTATTAATCTGCTAAATCAGGACACATTTTCATTACCAAAGGGCATACTTTGAATGTGACCATTATTTGGAAAGATTTCACTAGAAATGATCGAACTATTTCCAGAATGAACTTTGAGGAAAATACATTGGAGTTTTTTTGCCCCTGTATGTTAAGAATATATACTGCATACAACAAAGAAGCTCTAGTATCTTCAAGCTTGAGCCTAGGGAATTTATTTGTACTTAGGGTGGGTTTGGTACCAAGAAGTGAGCACAGTACAATGTGTACTGATAAACTTAGAAGGTTACTGGTATCCTTCACTGGAATTTCTATTTCCTGTCAATACAACAATCCCCAACAGCAGAACCATTGTGACTATGAAATTATATTGCATTATCCTATTGCTAGGTTCATAAAGCAGGATAGGAAGGGAAGCTGCTTAATTCAAACACAAAGGGGCAAGGAAATACACAAGGAAAGGAAGAGATGTAGAGCACAGTGAAAGCAAAAGAAATAACCTGAACAAAACCCTAACTTACAGATATAGGTAAGAAAATGTGAAAGAAGTTACAAGTTTTGCTAACCATCTACTCTGAAGATAAGTATGACTTCATGAGTCTTTCCTTGTGTTGTAAAACTTAAAATATCAAAGAAAATATTGTTAATTACCTTTTGATATTACGGTATTTTGTATGAAAGAATGTTCCTAGACATACAAGCTCTGCACATGTTTTACATAAATGTGTTTAAATCTAGACTGCAGACATTTCACTTGAGAAAAACCAGCCTTTTTTTCCCCACCTCCATAACTGTCTTCCAAAAAAACATATACTAAGTTGCTCTAAGACAAATATAGTAGATGAGTTATCCTGTCTTTTCATTTGGAAGTTTGTCTGAATAGCATTCCTCGCTCAAGCTAGACACTGGTTTGAAGTTCAGAGAAATAATACAAACATTTGAGATGTGCTTTGAGCTGATACCAAAGTGAAAACAAGTCCTGTTTATTTTCCCCATAATATGCCAAACAATAGGTGTGTAATAACACACTTGTGCCAAATACACTTGTGTACATAGTAATCTCAAAAAATACCCAATAGTAATTAGAAATCCAGAATAACACATTTTTAAACTACATATGCTTCCTCTATGTCAAAACTCATTTAAGTCAGGAATCCTTTGCTAAGGTCAGAGTGCCAAAAAGCACTTACTGAGATAAATTTAAAATCTAATTATTTTTATAATGTCCAGGTCACACTTTTTTGTTCATGCTTACCCTTGCCAGAGGAGCTCATCATTAGCAAGATCCTGCCAGACACATGAAGCTAGACAGAGGTCAGTTGCATTCAGGTATGACAAAATGGTAAAACTAAGCTCTGGTGGTAGCATTTCCAGGTTAATGAATCCTTCTTGTTCTTTAGATTTTCTTGTCTTCAACAGGTGGTAGATGTCAATGCCTCCTTGGGCTTGTTTGCGATGGCTTGTATTGGAAACGTTAGCAGCTACCCTCCTACCATGCTCTCTGGTAAGATAGCCTGGTCCACTGTATCCTTGCTGTTGCAATTGCTGGTTCCTAGCAACTCTCCAGAGTCCCTGACCCATCTGCGAGCCTGCTGGACATAAAATCCAAATTAAATGTTGACGGCTATTAATAAACGTTTGTAAGACAGACTCAGCACACACCGCAAAATAAAACTGTAGGACTGATCTGAATAGATAAAAAGTGAGTTTTGTCAAAATTATGGTGACCATGTCATCTGTCTTCATAAAGCAACTGAAAAAATACTGAAAACGAAACCCATAAAACAGCCTGGATTTTTTCGAAAATTTCCATGCTTGAAGAGTTACAAAATTAACAATAAGCTTCTGCAAAGAGTACCAAATATTATTTATATCCTATGCAAGTTAGGAAGCCTCAAGCTTCAGAACATTTGGAATCTTTAAACTTCCTTTAAAATTTAATAAAAATATCCTATTTAGCGTCAATGAAGCACTATAAAATACAAAGAAAAACAAAAATGCCCTGAGTATTGGGTAGCACACAAGATGAGGTTGTGACTGACATTGAAACAAAGTTTCATGACTTCAAGGATAATGCAGTAAGGATTTTGGGTGCTTAGAAACAAGAGAATGAGTATCTTTTCAAGCTTTCTTGCCTAGCGTCCTAACACAAATCCTTCAGAATAATGTACTCACATACTTAAAAAGAGGACATCACTGCAGAGATAGTATAAAAACCCTTTTTGTAATGTAAAAAAAAGACTAAAAAATACATTCGCTACTTTAAGGACCAACTGAAAAAATTTTAGAGAAGAAACAAAGTGAGACACAATTTAAACCATTCTAGAACCAGCTGCTGGAAATCCACAAGGCTCCAATATCCGTGTAGCTATTCAGCAGCTTATATGCTAGTTGTTAGAACACATATAATCTTCCTCATCATGTAATTACTTTCAGCTTTGTAGTAATTCAGGAAAAACGCTTTCAGAACTCACTCGTAACGCAAGATGAGCAATCCCATTGTTATAATAAAGTCTTTTAAGTAATGGTATCCAGAAATACATTTTTAAATTATTTTGAACATACATTTTCAATCTCCAGATTCAACAGGCTACTCATATGTATGTTTTCAAACTTCCAATGATGTAACTTCATCTAGGAATTTAAACCTTGATAGCTTGGCTGTAAAAACTATCACAGTAAAAATAACCAAGCTTGTTTCTAAATTGCTGATCTTTTCCGGCTCTGTCTGGTATCTATCAAAGGCTGATTTAAATTCTAATTGCGTCTTTTTCATGTTACTTTGCTACTACATAATAAATTCTTTAGCAGTGTTGACAAGCACGATAGGATACTAAAAGCAATCTTGATTAATGATGCATTAGCACCGGCTTCTACTTCGTTAAATAAAAACCAACACGCACTCTTGATCTAAATGCTCTCCGCTTTATGGCAACCGAGCCCTGTGGCTGCCGTTTTGCAGCCACAATCATCCCCACAGGAGAAGTTCCTTCTTCGTAAACCGAGGCCCGTAAACCGTGCGAGTCCCTAAAGGGCTTTAAACTAACTCGGGCAACCAGGCTTGGCGGGCGGAGGGCACAGCCGTCCCGCAGGCCAAAGCCGCCCGCGTCTCACAGGAGCTCGCAGCCGCGCTGCTCGCCGCCGCCGCGGGCCGCGCCCTCCCTCAACACAGGGCTTCCGGGATCCCGGCCGGGCCGGCAGGGCGGGCAGGGAAAGGCCGCTCCGCTCCCGGCTGGGTTGCCGGCCCGCCAGGGCCCCATGGGCCGCCCCCGAGGCCCCGCCTGTCCCATTGGCAGGCCTGCCCCGCCACGCCCCCCGGGGCACTCGCGGGCCGTACCTGAGCCACCCGGGTCCCACCAGCCGCCGCGAGAGCCCCGGCCTGGGCGCCCCGCCCCGGTCCGTGCGAGAGCGCGCGTGGCGGAAGGGGCTGCGCGGCCCGGGGAGAGGCGGGGGCAAGCGGAGGGGCGCAGGAGGGAGCCTGGGCTGGGAGGGAGCCTCGCAGGAGGACGCGCCCCGCGCCCCCGCGTTTCCCCACGGCCGCTCTGACGGCTGCTGTTGTTGCTGGAAGTGACGTCACCGGGGCGCAGGAAGCGGAAAAGTGGGCCGTTGGTTCCGCGCGGCAGATAGTGTGTGTCCCCGCTCGCTCCCAGGGGGAAAACAGCGGCGCTCCCGGCGGGACTGCGGGTTCCCACGGGGGGTGCGCCCTGGCGCGGGTGAGCGTCAGATCCTCTCCCGGGGAAGGGGTTTTGTCCAGCCGTGCGGGCCGACTCCAAGCGCAGGGTTCTGCCTCTCCCTGGGGCCGGCGAGCCCCAGGCGGGGAAGGCCCGGCCTCCGGCTTGTCCAAGAGTTAGGGAGGGCGGATGTGGAGCCGGCCCCAGTCCCACTCTGGCGAGTTTGCCTCAGCACGCTGCGCCGTGTCCTGGCGGGGCAGCCAATGACACGCAGTTCCTTGTGCGGTTCGCTCCTGTGCGAGTTGCCTGTGTGCTCCAAGTGCGACGGTGGTATCTGGCACGATAGCGAAATCCACTGTTTGTCGGTGACGTTTTTGCGTCTCTGCGTAATGGTGCTATTTCCCCTCAGTTCCCCACCCCATGCGAGAGGACTGGCTAGATAAAATTAGAAGAAATCACAAACCTATTTTGTTAGGCATTTCAAAGACAATGCTTACAGTGTTGAGATACTTGGTAACCTGCATGGGGTAGCTATTTTGGTTCTTTTTTGGTTTTGGTGTTTTGTTTTGTTAGTTTGTTTGTTTGTTTATTTGTTTGTTTTTATTTGTTTTTTATTTGTTTGGTTTTTATTTTTTTTTTGTTTGTTTTACATTGATTCTTTGAATACCATGTGCAGTTTTCAAGAATTGTTGTTTGATCCACTTGCAGTTCTGTGTTATCATATCTTAAAACTTTGTTGTACCGATTTTATTCTGGACAGCCAATGTTGTGTAGATGTTCCATCATGAGTTTCTACAGGCATAAGCTATGTGCCACTTTTTACTGTGTTGTAAGATTTTCTGCCAACTTCACTGTTATTTTTATGACCTCAAGCTATTTTGTTTTGTAGTAGTAATAGCAGTTTTTTTGTTTTATTGTAACAGTAGTTGCTTGTTTTACATCCAGAGGTCCAGTGTAAAAAGGATTGTAAATACTTTTGGGAAATGGCCTGTATGATTAGACAAATTCCTGTGAGAGTATCTTCTGTGAGTACTTGCGTTGCAGGTTAGAGCTCCATTTTTATATCAGGCTCTTTGAGACTTGTCTTAATATGTAGTTACACTGGCAAAACCATAGGATGGATCACTTTGTAAGGTAATGCAGGAAGAATAGCTACCTCAGTTTCCAAACAAATTGGTTAAATTGTCCCAAACATTCAACAGCAAGTGTTGTGTACTTACATTTAGCACAACTAATAACTGAGAACCTAATAATTAAATTGAAAGAACCCCATAATTAAATAGGAAGAAAATACTTTAAGAAGGGCAGAACACATGCAAAGAGCTTGATCTAGAGGATTGCTGATTAAACACCAGAGAAGCACAAGAAGAAAAACACCCTCAACAAACCCAGACCATTAATACAAGCCTTAACTGTCTCTTGAGACCGTTGCTTCGTTTGTAGGTTGTCTGTCAATGCCCCTTCACTGCTTGGACTGGTAGGCTTCAAAGTACTTGTTATCTGGCAAGAAAAGAAATTCAGTGGAGACAGTGGCAAGCAATTATCTCCCAGGTTCTAGCAGGAAGTTGAACAGTGATTTTCTATTCTAAGGCTTAATAACTGAAGTCATTACTCTTTAACTGAGGCTTTTGTGGCAAGTACTGTAGAGGATTAAGCCAGTCACAAGCAGATCTTGAGGATGTGAGGAAGGATGTTCTTTGAGAGGTGTCAGCTTTCAAATTTCAGATTTTAGGCTTTTTTTAATCTCCTCTAAACAATTCAAAAAACACTGACTTTAATAGTTTGCTGATAGGCTTTCTCAAGTTCTGTCAGTCTCTCCAGGTTGTTAAGATGCAAGCATTTGTTTTCAGTTGTGACTTTGGAGCTGGGCTATGATCCAGTCTGTGCTCTTAAACTTTTGTATTGGAGAAGAGCTAATACTGGTTACATATAAACAAATGGTTGCAAGGTACAGTATTTTTAGGCTGTCTCTAAATACAAATTTATTTTCAAGGATAGTTATTAGTACTGATACTTGAAGGTACTGCTTCAGGTGTTTCATTTTACTATATGCCAGCCAGGCAGAATTGCCAGTACTTTTAGATCTCTTATGGCAATTTTTAATTTTTTTTTTCTTGTTTTCTCCCCAGTCTTCTCTTCTTTCATTTGACAATTTATTAATCAGTTCTGTTTGGTACATACTAAAAGTGGGTGCTTCCTGTATTTAATTATGCCTTTGATAGATCTAAAAACTGATTTGGATGTTGGTGGTTTCATGCTTTGCTGATTCTCTTTTTTATTTTTTTTTTCAGTCTTCAGTTTCCTTGTGGGATAGTTCTCCAGGAAAAGAGCTTTTTGTAGTTTGCACCAAGTCCTTAGATTCTAAAGTCTCTTTCTTCTGCAAAGCAAAGCTTACAATAAATTAAAAGTGGATTCTCAAGTTGTATGTTACAATGTAGAAGTTAAACAAGGACTTTTTGGTTATCATCCCAATAAACTATTTTGCCTAAATATCTAACCACTCTGTTACCCCCTCCCCCCTAACAATTTTAAGTGTATTTAACAAATTGTCTAAATAGAGAAATATTATCTGATGAGTTGCTAGTCCTGTCTTCTGATGTCTACAAAGCCAAACATTGCTCTTTTGGCCAGTGATCTTAGGGCCAGGTGGAGAAAAGAAGCATTCTAAACTGAAGAATGCAGAAGCTTTTCACTACTTGTGGAACTTCTGCTCCTTTGAAACAGCCAAGAAACTTGTTTTCATTCAGTTTTAGTGGATTCAGCCAACACAAAATTCTTAATTCTTATGTTTTCAGATACCTTTAAAACTCTTTGGTAGTTGATCACATTGAGGATTACTGCTTGATCCTCTTTCGAATGAAAGAAGATAATGCCTGGTATTAATTGGTATTGAGCTGTAGTTCTGTGCTGTATTGTAATGCTTTGGAAATAGTAGTGTTTAGAAAGGGGAGCAAAACTCTTTGAATTTCAGTGGTAATTCTATTGCATTTCCTAATTTTTGTGTATATTATTTTTTTAAAGGGGATGTACTTTTTTACATTTATTCCATACTGAAAGAAGAATAGCATACAGAATAATGGCAACAGGAGACCTAAATGGAAGTTTAAGAAAAATGGAACAAGGACTTCGCTTGTTAAGTTATCCCAGAGATGTGGATTATACAGTGTAAGTGGCAGTGTGAAAATTTGAGCTAATACACGATGACAGCAAGATGTGTAAACAAGCTGTGTGTGAATATTAGCATTACACATAGTGATGAGTAAGCAGAGCATATGTCTGCGAGAAGCTGGGGTTTGGTGAATGGGAAGTGGAATACAAAAGGGTGCAATTTTCCTCCTCTGAGCAATCCTTAGAATAATCCTGAAGTATATCACTGTTTTGCTCTTCTGCTGTTCTCTTTTCTTCAGTTAATCTCTCACCTTTGTAATTTCTTTGTAAGTGCTTGCAAAACTTCATTCAGGAAGTTTCATCCTGTAAAGATTAAAAAAAGGTGTTGAATGTTGAGCTGAAAATGCTGGTGGGCTTTAGACCTGTCGATGTTTAAATTATAGGAAGATCACAAGAACTTTTTTTTTTTTGAGCATTATACAGATAACAGTAAAATCTACTGAATGAGATATGCCTGAACAAAAAAACCTTAAAATGAAAGAGAGACTTGGATATAACTTGCTGGCTATATTAATGCCTTTCAAGTTAAATGTTTGAATTCATGTAATGAAAGGCTTTTGTTATCTTCTGCTGTGTAAAATACTTTTGTTTCTTAATAGGTTAGTAAAGGGTGATCCAGCTGCATTTTTACCTATCATCAACTATTGTTTTACTTCTTTTTCAACCTGCATAGCAGAGCTTTTGGTAAAGTGTGATGTGGAACTGACAGCAAAGAGTGACTTGCGTTTTATTGAAGCTGTTTATAAGGTATCTGTCTTTGTGTTCTTTGCAGAAGAAATGCAGTTTTGAGTATAGTCTCACAAAAATTAAACATCTGCTATGAGTTTTATTAGAAAGTGAAAATTTTTGGCAACAAACGTGAACTGTAGCTCTGTTAGGAGTTAAAATGAGTAATAAGTCACTGTGTGGCAAGGGTTTAGGATTTCATGAAAATAAGGATGGGTGGTGTTAGCCAACGGTCTCTCTATTTTGAGATAGTTGCAGAAACAGTAATATGGTTTTTTGTTTTAAAGAATACCAAAATATTTATTACCTAACAAGGTTTATGGAAGTGACCTTGGAAGAAATCATACCACCAAAAAAATCCCCACATAAAACTTAAAAAACTGTAATGAAAGCACAATTAAGAAATATGGCTATTTTAAAACGCTATGCCATTTTAATCTATGAACTCAAATACTTAACACTTTATAAGTTGGAATCAAGTTCTTAACTGATTGAAAATAACTTTAAACTATCCTTAAAATATCCATAAGCATGTTTTTAGAAAAGGTGGCTTGATGTATTAACAAATGGTGGCTAGTTCAGACTAGTTTCCATCTGAGGAGCACAGAGACTGCTTTACAGAAAGGTTCTGGGGCAGCTTTACGTAGCCCTCTGACGCATTTGCTGAGATTGAAACAACTTTTTGTTGCACAGTCACTTTGGAAAATCTTTGTTTTAAATTTTTTAGTATTAATTACTACAGTAATTTATGTAATGAATCTTAAGACTGTGGGTTAAACTTTAGAAGAGTGATGCAAATGAAATGTTTCTAGAAGAGGAAGTATGTTTAAAGCCTAGTTAAAAGAAACAGCTATATATGCATTTATATATGTATAAATAATCAAATGAGAAAAGGTTTAACTGTTGAAGTGCAGAATGAAAGAAAAGATTGTAGTAAAACAAGAATATGACCATGCCAGTTCTACAGCAAATTGTGTGGTGATTTTGAAAGTGAAGTAAACTCCTGTTTTGTTGCAGTTTCTTCGAGATCAGTTTCAGTATAAACCAATTTTAACAAAAGAGCAATTTCTTCAGTTTGGCTTTGCGGAAAGAAAAATGCAGATTGTTTGTGACATTATCAACTCTGTGGTGAAAAAACATAAGGAATTGAGTAACTCTAATAAGGTACTGATTAAAAGGTTACCTTTATTATAAGTTTCTTTTGACATGCTTGATGTTGCAGGTAGAAGCCGAAGACCAGTTTGTTTAAGATGCAGCATCGCTGATGGACAAAACAATGGATAATTAGTATGAATTTCCATTGTTAGATGCTTGAATGCTATCATTCAAGACATGAAGTTGCCAATTCTTTGAAGTATAAATGGAAAAAATATTAGAATGAAGATATATCTAGTACTTGGTGTCTTTACAGTGATATATTCGTTTCTCAAATCTGAGTATTTTCATCAATGATACTTGTTTACATTGTTAAGGCATTATTTTTATCAGTGTATGTTGTGTATCAGTCTGTGCTTTAATGTAAAGAATTTTCAGTCTTCCTATTTTACAGGATTTTGTTTCCTTTGAGTTTATAACAGTCTTCAGAGCTTCTGTATACTTAATTTGCTACTTTTGGGAACATAACTACAATTTTTTCTATTTGTTCGCATTTCAACTCTGGTGCAAGTTGTCTTTTCTATTTTACAACCACCTTTGATGCAACTTTGCATAGGCATTAATGAGTGTATAAATATGGCATGCACTTGTGCATCTGTGTTCTCTGTAAATTTGGATAATTTTTTTTAGACATTATTGTACTACAGAGGTTTAAATTTTTTTGTGTGTGCGCACCATGAAATATTTCTGACTATTAGTGATGGTAAAAAGTGGGGTGTGTAATCCTGGAAAATTTTCCTATCTTATTTTCTTCTGTTCACTTTGGAGGTTAAATCCCAAACAAGGAAAAAACTCAAACCTTTTAAATATGAAATATGGTCAAATTGTGGTAAAGGCCTTGCTGATCCTGGTGGCAGCGCTCCGAATTCCAAACAGGTATGAAAATAACTTTTATGTTTTGTGTCTAAAGGTTAATCTCATTTGTAGCATTTCACACTCTGGATGGAATTTGTGCTTTTATTTAGATTTTAACACTTAATCAAACCAGTTTTGAGGTGACCTGGTGTTTGTTTGTTTGTTTTTCCCCGAAGTGTGGTTGACTGAAATAATGGCTGAAATACAGAGGATATTGCCTTTTTTACTGAGTAGCTGATCTCAAAGTCTTGGTGGTAATAATCTAGTGCTGTTGTTTGTCATTTGAATTGTATCAAATGGAGGGACAGCAATGAAAAAAAGGTAAAATCAGAAAAAGAAGCTACATTGTGTTTGGAGAATGAAGTGTACTTGGCCTAATGCATGTGTTGTCAACTCAGCTTTCAGACCACTTTTTGCTTTTTGTTTAAATCTGTTCAGCAAGGATTTCTTAATGTCTCCTGGCTTTGGTTTTACAAGAGTAAAATGATTATGATTTGAGTAAAAATGATTCTGCATTATGCTACTCTTGACATGTGGAGAGGAGGCAGCTTTCTTAATATTTTCTGCTAAAGGGGTGCAAAATAAAGTTTTACAAAACTTTTAGGACTATGACTGCCCAAAGTTGGTGATTTCTATTTAGAAGGAAAATACTGCTTTTATCAGTGTGGAAAACTTCACAAAGAAAGTATTTGAAATGGCTTGTCTTCTCTTCTGGTTGTTTAATGGTAGAAATGAGTGGGGATATATAGTGCATATTAAGAATTCCCTAGAAGAGGAGCATTTCAGCTTCACTAAAACATCTAGGAATCTGTATGTGTTAAGATGCTGCACAAAACTAGTACTTGTGCATTCTTAATGATTAAGAATTTTATTTTGTTTTGTGGCAGGATCAAAGGACTTAATCCACCTAGAAGGAATTGCAAAATTTTTCTCTTACTTTGTTTTCTCTAAGGGAAGCCTTCAAAGGAAACTAAATTTGTAGCTTGTAGGGCTATTTTGGTGACAGTTGTCAAGAAAGAGAGAATTCTGAGCTTCCTAGTTAAACTTTTGTTTGTTCTGAATCTTTTAGTCATGGTTTTGATGTTGGAACTGTCTATGAATCTCGCTAGATGTATTAACATACCTCCCAATCCACACTTAGAAATCTAACAACCCTTACATTATGAAAGGAGATTGCGTTTCATTCATTACTGTTTGTGGAAGGGAAACAAGGTACACAGTGTATATGATAAAGTGTTTGCATATTTGTTTTACAGTTCTTTCAAGTCTGTATGATTTTTTTTAAATCAAACTGCCTGCTCTTGCTTTCTGTATTTTGTAACCAGTTGGGATAAGATTGCCATATTTAAATAAATACTAAAATGATAGATCTTATGTGTCATTAGTTGGGTAATAAATTGAAGTGTTCTTGTAATGAATAACACCAGCAGTTTGTTGGGGTTTTTTCTTTGTTTGTTTTTTAACATACTCAAAAGAAGCCTCTAGTAGAGCGACACTCAGGAAATGAAGTTAGTGGTGACGTTCATCCACTACCCCTTCCAACACAGAGGGGTAACGAGGAGGAATTGTGCCTAGATCATGATATTGTGGAAGTTAAATGTGACCAAGTAAGAACTTTTATTTTAAGATGCTCTCTGCATGTATTCTTAATGTTTTTTACAGGGTTTTTCTGAAGGGATAAAGCTTTTTACATTATAGCTGGATGCTCCTTAAGTATAACTAATAGTTATACAATAAATATATTGAAAAAATTGGAAAAAAGAAAAGTCATTTAAATTGAACTGACCTTTCAAGAGACAGTTCTGTCAACAGTTTCTTTTAAAAGCTGAGTTCCATGGATAGGCATATTATGACAATTCTTAAAGGAAAATATTTTTCTAGTGTAACAGGATGCAGTTACTGAACTTGAGGAAGATTGCACTTAATTTGATTGATTAAATGATGAATTATATATGTTTTGAAATTAGAAATTAGATGTTCTTATCCATACTTTCAGGTCATAGAAGGTAATTCTGAGATTGAGTTTTTAAAGAGTCAGCTTGCTGATTGCCAGGAAAAGCTTCATAAGCTAGATTGGATAGAAGATAAACTACAAGTTTTAGAAGAGAAACTGCAAGGAAAGGTGATAATAGATGAGAAGGACTGGAATAACTTGTTGAATCGAGTTTTGCTTCTTGAAACAGAACTGTTGTTACAATCCAAAAAGGTATGTTAACTTCTATTTTAATGCTATAACAAAAATTGCCCAGACTCAGCATTGTTGGTCTGTTTCTACTCTTTCTGCCTCCTATATGTGCCTTTTACTGGTTTTAAAGACATAATTTGAATGGAAGTGCTGTTTATGGAGTTGATGGTGATTTTTTTTTTTGTTAAGTTCTGTTGTGCTATCATGCTCTATGAACAAAGCTCTCCATTGGGAACTGGGTTTGTGCAGGAATAGCTAAGCCCGTTTTCATTAGTTATGCTTTGGTGTGTTTTTATTTACTAGTGGAGTTATAGAAGGAAGTTTTTGAAGACTTCTGAATATGCAGTCTTCATTCTATACAACTGACATTGACAAAAATAGATGGCATGTGCAATGGAAAATGCAGGATTAATTAAAGAGTTAATTCTTATTTTAGTCTTTTTTTTTTTTAATTTGTGGCTCCTTGAAATTTCTAGTCTAATTGATGTTTTTTTACTCCTGTTTACACCCTCTTCCCCCACTTCCTATTTCTTGTCTATGATGTTTGTTGCAGTTTTAAATGTGTGAAAGTGCTACAGTTGTGATGTAGCTACATTTGGCACAGCAAATCAAATCTTATGTTGCATTAAGACTCTGGGTTATTTTTCATGCAGTTCAAAAGTCCTTGTGTGCACATTATATAATTTCATTTAAATACACATGTAAGTATTTCGAGATGCAGTGAACCATAGCATAAATTTTTTGATCACATGCTTAAATTCAAAGTGTATTTGCATATGCATCTCATCTGTATCCTTCACATACTGTCAGATGCTGTCCAGAAGTTGAAAACTCTTGTGGAAAATAGTTGGATTTTTCTCCACAGATGTAAAAATGCTGAATTTATTCGTAACTGGGAGCTTTGTGTGTGTTGCTGAACCCACAAATTTGAAAATGTTGCTAATATTTGTATACAAGACATTTTTTACTGTGTGCCTTGAAAGTGTGCTAGTTATGCAAAGTCTTGAAATGGGTAAGTGTTCAGACTGATCACAAGATTACTGCTAAAGGCTGTGGCTCAAATAGAAAGGATCGATGTTCTCAGTCACATTTTTAAACAGTTTCATGTCAGCAATGGCTCAGGTGATTTACCATCTGAAATCAGTTTCTTATGGATATTGGAATTTAATTATCAGTAGACATATGCCCATATAACACCACCAATGACAGTGTTTTCTTTTGCTAGCAGTCTCAGGAGGCCTTCAGGTGAACAGCCTGGTTCACCAAGGTTTTGGTCCTGTTTCAAATACATTCTTTTTAAGAGATTGTTGTAGCAGCCCAGGAAAGTTTGTGTTTCAGACTAGACTTGTTCTTTTTTTTCTGTAAATTTGGTTTATTATTACTTAAGTGACATGTTTATTGCAGTTGTTCCCATGGTTGGAATAGCGTTTGGAAAATACTCTCAAAAATATCACTGAAAAATTTTTGAGTGAGGTAATTATATTTCTATACTACATGTTACTGAAAGAATTCACCCTCAGGAACAAATCCAAATGTAGTTACTGTGTGACATTGTTGCTGGTCTTTTTTCAAAGCAAAATAAGCTAATTCTATATATATATGTAAGACCACATACATATATACATATATATACACATGTGTATGTGTATATGTATATATATGTATGTATGTATGTATGTATATCTATATTTATATAGTCTTCAAAACCCTATTTCCCAGTAGGCTTTTGAAAACTGCCAAGAAATAATCCTTTGGGTCACAGAATTGCTGCTTCCTTGTTTGATGAAATTGCATCCAAATTGTACTTCACATACACAGAAACAATTCAGAATTACTTCTTTAGTCTTATTCTTGCACTTTTTGGGGAATTTTTGGAATCTAGCCAACACAGCAGAAACACTCTAAGATCTGTCTTTTGCTGTTGCAAAAGTAGCAACAGCTGTGCATTTAGCTCTGGGAAAGTGTGAAAGATACCAAATCCATTTCAGTGAAAGGAATTAAACGTAGACAGTGGAGATATCTATTTTTGTATTTTTTTAAAAGAGATATCCATTATTACAGGTTTTTCCAGCATCTTCCCACACCATATGTACTATTTCTCACTCATTCACTTATTTGGGTATAATATTCCCCTGTTAACTGATATAGACTTCAGTATATAAAACAATATGTTTTAAAGGCTGAGATTTCAAATCATAATGATAACTCATTGGTAAAAAAATAGTCTAGATGTTGTTTGAGTGTTGTGTTTTTTAACTTTGAAATTAGAAAAGTGCACTCAAAAGCATTTAATGTTTCCTTGCTTATGAACAGCCTTTTTAAATTAGATTGACTTAAACTGAGAACCTTTCTTAAAAGAGCACTCTCTCATTTGAACTGCATTTCTGAATATCAACCAGCAGTGGAAGGTACACTTGCTTTGTTAAGCTAATGGCAACCAATGTCAAGATAAAATGATTAGCATGCTAAGAACTAAGGTTATTTGTTCCGCTCATACCTAAGTTATATGAACTATGTTTTAGCCTGTTTTTGTCCTGTTTACAAACAGCAATATTGATATTAAAAAAAACTCCATGAAATAGACTACTTTTTAAATGAAGTGTATGTATGGAAATGTTGGATTTTTTTAATCCTGTAAAGACATTTGTGCAGTGCCAACTTGACTGGATGGTGCAAATGCATACGTAGTAAGTACTTAAATATAATTTTCTTCAGTCAAAATATGATTTAAACAGGGTGTATGGCTAAAATGCAGTAAACTTGTATTTCAGAGAGACTTACCTACAGAATCCAGCAATGTAAGCTGGACATGTACTTCCAATAGCATTCCAGTTTCTCCTGGTGAGTATTAATGATTTTCCTTTTAATTAACATAAATATGCTAAACACTTCTTGCTGACCTTGACTAAAATACTCCTTTTAAGTAGATAATTGCAATTTAGTGACCTCTGAATTTAAATCCGTACTGCAGATTAGAATTTAACGTCCTCATCACTTCCTGTCTGTAATTGGTTCTTCAGAAGATTTATCTACTCTAGCTTAGTAATTAATAGTTACAAATAGCTACTCAAAATATTAATGATATAAATTTAATTGAGATGCTGTTGCTAAGGTAGTGAAAGACAATGTTATCTGGACTTTAAAGCAGTTACTGTGTTTTGAAAATACACTATTCATAAGCACAGAAGGAATTATTTTTGCTATCACTGGTTTTATGATGCTGTTTTCTAGTTTTATAATGGGACTCAAGATAAATCAGAGCCTTTTTATTCATAATCTGTGTTCTTTTTCAAACTACTGCTGAATGTTGTCTATATTTCATCCCTTTGAACCAGTTAACAACCATCTAACTGGCATTTTTGCTAAGATTTCTCATTTTAAGCAGGAAGGCAAAATCTTTTTCTTCCATTTTCATCTTAATTTTGATAACATACAAGAAGTAAATGAAAAAGCCTTAAGTGGGAAAGAAATTAAAAACATTGCCCAAGCCATAAGTAATTTTTCTGTCTTCCTCAATGATAACTCTTTATCCCTAAGCTTGCATCATTCACTTCATTGATTCGACCTTTTTCCCCTGTGGCAACTGTTATTCCTGCCACCAGTGTTAAGGAGGAAATGCTGTTTTCCATTTCTTCTAGTGTTGGCCTGTTGCATTGTAATTAAAAGGGAATCTCAGAAATTTCTATGGAAATGAGGAAGGCAGTTTCTTGGTTATGTCAAGGTTTGTTTTTATTTTGTAGTCTCAGAAATGGGACCCTCCTTTTACAGGAAAGCTTGCAACATGTATACTTCGTTTTGTTAGTTTAGTGGTTTGTTAGTGACACTTAAGGACTTCATATCAGTAAACAGATGGTCTTTCAAAGAGAATTTTCATATTTTCAAACTTCTTGAGTTCTTCTGATTTTGTTACTCCTGTTTTTCTAAAATTCAAGAAATTTTAGGCATACAAGTTATGGGACCAATCTTAACTTTTTTATCTGAGATGTACAGTGCAGGAATGCTTTCGTACTCTTTTTGGTTCTAGTGCTCTTCAGAAATCACAACTGTACAGAAGAAACAATTTTTAATTTTAATTGCTTAAAATTAGTTGATATGATTTTTAGACACAGTAGTGTAGCTAAGCATGTTCCAAAGGTATGATGCATTGATGGTGACCTTACTAAAAATAAGGACATGGGAACACTTTTTCCTAGATACTAAGTTCTCTTCCCTCACAAATTTTAGTAATCTGAAATTGCAAAGAATAACACAGCCTTCCCAATATAACAGAAAAAAAAAGTCTCTTTCTGCTGAATGGTTGCTACAGTTGTCCCAAGGGGAGGAAAGCCAGAAAACGGCAAGAGCGTGATACAAATTTTAAGCTAAGCAAGAAGGTGATAATTTTCTATAATGTTTCTGCTACTTATAAGACAGGTTACTTAGCACAAATTAAAGATGTGTTTGAACAGGCAGTTTACAATAAAAATAATGTAAACTATATGGAATTACTATTAAAAGTTGACACTGTAATCAGATGTTCGTAAGTTTTGATTTTGCTGGAATCAGGATAAAGTAATCTTCCTAGTAATCTTTTTGGAATTTGCTTTGTATATATTATACATAGTAATACTGCATTTATCTTGTTTTAAAAAGATTAGAAACCTATTTTGGACTCTTATAGTAGCTTTTCCTTTTCCCGCTCTAAACAATGCATTCTCTTCTGTTATTACATACTGTAAATCAAGTTTTTTGATAGCTGACCTTGCAAAAGGGAGCAAAAAGGCAAAGGTGACACAAAACCGAGTATTTCTCTATAGATACAGAGAGGAATGAGGAGATGCCAGAGAGTCATCTTCAGTCCTCTGGATGCAGTTCACTATTATCCACAAACCCATCTCCCAAAGCCATGACCATTAATTCTCATGATCTGACAGACATTTCAAAGGTAAGTAAAACTGGGGAATGCTTGGTTGATTTCCTTTCTGAGGTCAAGAGAACAAGTAAGCATTGGTTTTAGTTGTATATACTACTAGTGAAAAACAAGGAAACTAAGCAAAACTACATCTAGGTCTGTCTCATAAAAATACTTTTGATATGTAAACAGTGCTTAAAGTCACATTTTCTCTGAATCTTTAAGTTGAAAGTCCATCTGAAGAATGTCAGCTTTGAAGAGTTCACTAACTTTGTTGCTTTTAAATTGTAGGAGACAATAAGACAAAGAATGGAAAAGATAAGTAAAATGTAAGTAATAGGAAAGGGCAGCAGGAATTTATTTCCCAGGAGGGATTTGTATTGGACTAAGGCATATAGAGAATGTACATGTGTGTTCCAAACCTCAGAGGTCTCTACATCAGGTGTGGCATTTCCTTATGACTCCACTGGATAATAAATCCACTTACAGTTCTGTATTTGTGGGATGAGTCACTGTTTTGGTTTCTAAAAAGCAATAGAAAGCATTCTTAATAGTATTAAATAGAGATTAAAGAGTGTTTAGAATTTGGTTGACAAAAATTAGGAATAGTATTTATCTTCTGATAAGAATTCCCTGGTACTTGCAACTTTTCTCCTGAAAAATAACTACATATCTTAACTCTACTTTTTATTATTTAAGGAAAAGTAAAACTAATCTCAGCTTAAGAATTATGTTAACTTATTAAGATGTATTTGATACTGATCCTGAGATCTGTAATAAAATTGTTTGGTAAGAAATATTTTTATTATACTTGAAGAGAAATGCATTTTTGTATAATGTTTCTTTAGCAAGAGATTTCTGTAAGTGGCTGGCCTGTAAAAATGTCTAGCCTTTTCTGTGATTTTGATTGTGTTGCTTGGGTTGCCTCTTTCTTTATGTGTATGTAAGGTTTATGATATGTGGTAGGCATTTAAAATACAAACCAATTGCAGAGGAAAAGGGAGGATGAGAGAAAACTTTTGGTTTCGTGCTATATATTAGTATTTTGGATAATTAAAAAGTTAAAGGCAAGACAGTAATTTCTTACCTGATTATAATAAGCATATGTGAACAAAATTTATTTTCAGAATTGAAGAAACCTTCAAATTGTTGAAAACATCAAGCCCACCTCTGAGAATACCTGAAAGCACAGGTCGTGAGATCTGGTCTGTGCAGACTTATGGATACCAGGAGTAATATGTATGTTTATACAGCATTAAATTTTTAAAATATCGAATTTGTAATGATCACTAGTGCTTTTATTTCTTTGAATAAATATTTTTCTGATGTATCTGTGTATTGATTTCCCTTCCCCTGACCCCAATTTTTTGTTTTAAAAACTGCTCAAATAGCTTCTCCCACCCTCCCTGCACTTCTGTAAATTGAAGTCATTACAGGAGTGTATTCTTGTGTTGACATTTGTTAGCAGTGTGCTAAGTAATATGTTTTTTAAAGTGCAAGCTTGAGGACCGTGGTTTACATCCTGTTGGAAACATTCCAGCTGGAACTTGCATGTTACACCCAAGAGGCATTCTTACATACCATCTTACCATCTGTACTATTGAATAAATCTTAATAAAAAACTTATATACACAGTTTCAAATAGGTACCTTTTCTACTGGGTATTTTTTTTTAAATATAAGTTTTCATGCTGAGCTGGAGAGCACCAACACTTTATGACTTACATTAACACTGACAAAGTGGGGTTCAGTTTGATCCTAAACACTAAAATGTGAAAGTAAGCCACAGACTTTGACTGCAAGAGATGTGCTGAGTGTTTTAGTGCTTTTACCCAACACATTTTAAGACCAGCAGCACAGATGGAGACCAGCCAGTGTACAAAGAAACACAACATTTTCATTATTTGAAGCCATACTAAGATTTCTGTTTAGAGACATAAGTAGATGTAAGACTTCTATAAACATAATCAGACCAAAGATGTGTGAGGTTTGGTAAGATTTTTTTTTTTTGTTTATTACTCTTTGTAAATTGGTAGCCTATCATATCAAGGTTTCTTTGTACTTTAATATTTCACTTGAAAGGATTTTTGGAGTTTAATATTACAAAACCACAAATACTTTTTTTTTTTTTTGCAGAGTTTTCAGATAAAGACAGAAGCAGCTGTTTGACATGCTGTAAAAATGATTTATATGTTTTAACAATAGTAATTTTTTTTTTCTATAACCATTAGGAATATAAATTGACTTTATTTTATATACAAACAGAATAACTTAGTGATCCATTATGTTATAAAATGTAGTTCTGCAACTTTTTTGGTTGTTTAAAAAAGAAGAAATAAAAAAGATTGGAAATTAGATGATATGAATGTGTTTTGCTCCTTATTTGAAAACAGACCTTACAAATCACTCTTCATTATTCTAAAATGAAATTAAATGAAGTCTGCTAAATGTTAGAGCAGTTCATGTTTTTAAAATAGGACTACAGCACCATCTTGTGGAAATCTGTATACAAAGTAATTATCAAAGGAGTAAAAATTAATATTCCTACAGTAGTGATCAAATATTCTGAATTATTATCTCTCTTATTTTTCCTCTTTGCCTTGAAGTCAAAGGGGCTTTTATGTTAAGTAAGATATTTATTCTCTATGAGATTTGATAATATTTCTGGCAAGAACCAGAGGAATGAATCTGTTGTTTGTTGATGTCATGGCAAAAATGAGAAGTGGTAGTCGGTGTAATTGATTCAAGTTACAGTGATTTATCACTGAATGCCTCTGGGGAATGCAGCAAGTGCTAGGTCTTTCTGTATGTGTGCAATTCAATATCATCTCTGTTTAGTGCTACAGAATTGAAAATCCAGAGCTTCTTCCAGCAGCTTAAATGCTTAAACAGTAATGAAAAGCTGAAATCAAGAATATGGACAAAGTGAAGTTTGAGAAGTGCATTATTGTCTTGTAAAGGTTAATTTTTCTGAAAAAAATAAAAAATGGTAAAAATATGTGAGAAGCTACTGGTATTTGTGGAATTTATATAGTAACTTTTTATTAGAGATGCTTAAAATTCATTACTAATCATTAGTGAACAGGGTTTTAAAACAGCTTTTTCTATCAGCTGCTTGTTTTGACACCGGAAGTTAGCCATGATTTTGAACAGTCGCAGTTGTAATATATTCTACCTCAAAATTATTTATTTGTGAATTATTTACAGTTATCTTTCCAAACACTTTATGCCACCTGTAGTTCCTGTTCAGTTTTTTTCTAGGATCTTTAACTCTGTGGTGAAAATATCTTGGTTCAGTTATAACAGACAGCAAACTGTTTCTTCAGGAGAGGTCTTATATCTGCAAAAATTGTTTAGTGATAGTATGTTGCTTCTGTGTTATCTAGGCAGATTTCTGTGTGATAGAGGTCTGTGTTGTGGTCTTTGTAGGGTACTTAGGATGATGCACTCTGCCAGTGATGTCAGATGAGCAGTTAATACAAGGGTACTAACTAAAACACTTCTAACTTGACTGTTCCAAATGGGTAAAAGGAGTCATACCAAAACTATGATATGCCTTCACCTGAGCATCCTACAGCTTGTTTAATGAGGTGTAGTAAACTTAGTAGCTCTGTTTAGGCAATGTGACCTTATCTGAGAGAAAGATGCTGTACTGGTCATTGCAAGACTTATTCTTTATAGATTATCAAGAGCAGATGCTTGATTTGGAGGTAGTGAGGCTTTTTACTCTCTGGGAGCAAACTGCTCTAGTTATAGGTTAACAACAATTAGCAGTAGTGTAGAGTGCTGATGCTCTAATACAGCACTGTGTGTTGGGTTTCCCTTCACCTTTCCTTTTGCAGTTATTGTAAAGAAAACTTATGCTGTAAAGCAAAATCACTTGATGATAGGCTCCAGAATCAAGAGAAATATAATTTTGCTAATGTTAGATTTATAATGATTAATTTTTAGTATAAGCAATGTCAAGAATATCATGCCTCGGGATATTTGAATGAAAGATGCAATTATATTTCTAAAACATACTGCAAGGTTTTCATAAAGTTTCACGTTTGCCTGTCTGTTCTCTTCTTACCTAGTGTTGCTTCATTGCAGTGCATGTTGAAATATGAACTGGGATTAAGAAAACTGCAGTTAGAGAGCCTTGAATACTTTCCATGAATGCTGAGAATAGTTTCACAAAGCTGAAGTTTTTGGCAGCTTAGGGGATTTCCTCCCAGTGCTGCTCATTCCCATCTGTCTATGTTATGAACTGTGTTTTGTAACTGATGTGACTTAAGTATACACTTCTGAAAATACATAGCAAAGGGTATTGGTTGTTTTTTTGGGGTGGTCTTGGAGTTTTTTTGTTTTTGTTTTTGCTTTTTTTTTTCTGATTCACATCAGTTCCATGTTCCAGCTTATGACATTGCATACAAACATTTGTGCCTGAACTTTCGGTTGGAGCAGCACGCTGTGCTGTCAGCAAGTAATGGGGCAGCAGAAGAAAGAATGGGTCAAGTTGGTGTTTTACTGCTGAAGGGTTTTTTCTCTGACCCTGTAGCGAGCTAGAAGTGAAGTTGTTCCTATGCAAACTCCCAGTGTACATATTCATGAAAACTTGTTTATTTTTGAATTGACTAAATGAAAGGGCAAACGTGTGAGAAAAATGTGGAAAATAGGATTAAAGGGAATGTAAATCTACAGTTTGGGATTGGGTCAGTTTTCAGGTGTTAAAATAGCTCTTTTTATTACATGTGCTTGTGATTTTTCTTTCTTTTTTCCCCTGGCCAGTTTTTTTGGATTTAGTCATATCTTTCATATATTCAGAAAAAAAAACCCAAAAAACTTCTGTCCTGTTGCTGTGTAAGAGGACCATAAAATATACAGGCAAATGCAAATACAATTTTTGGGAAATATTTTTTGAAACCTTTCATATTGTGGAATAAGCATATATGAATGTGTAATGCATTTAAAATAATTTCACATAGACTATCACACTGTATTATAAAAATATGAAACAAATACTCCTTTCAACTTTAGTTTAACTGTGATAAGCTAGATAATACAGTTAATGGAGTTTGAAGCATTTCATTGCTAACAATTTAAGGAGATTTTAATATACATGAATATTCTTCAGTTATTTTTAGTTCTGCATGTTGGTTTGCTTCATAGGTGATCAAGTAGAACACACTATGCCTTTCCTGTCGTACTGATGTAGTCTGGGATTGCATAGTCTTTAGGTCATTGCATAAATAATTTGTAGTAATTTTGCTTTCTCCCAACTGTAAAATTAAGTGATTCCCCTTGTTCTTCTCCTGAGAGTATTATGTGGTTTGGTTCATTGTTTATGTCCACTTTAAGAATTACTTAGGAAAAAAGCTAATGGAAAAAAAAGGTGGTCTGGTTTAAAGAGTTCTTTTAATTGAAACCATTCCTTTGGAACCTATTGAAGGAACTAAGAGTAAATTCATGAACTTGAGCTTGAGTATTAGTGTTAACTTAAGCTCCAACTTCTTGTAGTTATAAAAGTAGTTGACAGCTGTGACAATTTCAGATAAAGTAGTTGTGCTTTTGTGTGAACTACGGAAAATTCAATGCTGATATGGTAGGAAATAACTAGGCTGAATATCAAGTTCCATTTTAAGCTGAGATATAACAATTTAGGACCAGTGTCTCAAATTTTCTGTAGGGTTTTTTTCATATATCACTGTTGAAACATTTCTGTATTTTCTGTATTACATATAGCCTTTTTCATGAAGACATACCAGCAAACAATTTATTACCGTAAGTATGATGATCAAAGGCATAAGACAATTGAATGACTCTTCTCATGACCCAGACAATATGATTAGAGCTTAATCTCCAAATGTGATGTGCAGAAAGAGAGGAGATGGTTCAGACTCATGTATTCCTCAGAAGTTCAGCAAACTTTCCACCCAGGAATGCCTCTGAAACTAGGAGAGTGGGGAACAGTGATGTAAATAAGAATATGTTTGACATAATTCTGGTTTGCACATGAAGGAAAAAAATGAGACTGTATCCCTATGGAGAGAGGTAATTGGACTTGGAATCTGAATTGGTGTTTGTTGTTATTCTTCCAGGATTTAGGTAATCACCTCTGCATTCTCCATGTTTTCATCAGAACACTTTTAACTCTGTTAAAACAAAAATATCAAACTCTCATTCTTCAGAATGTGTCATCGAGGTGAAAACTTGACATGAGCCAGCAATGTGCACTTGCGGCCCAGAGGGCCAGGTGTACCCTGGGCTGCATCAAAAGAAGTGTGATTAGCAGGTCAAGGGAGGTGATTCTGCCTCTCTACTCCATTTCTGTGAAACCTCACTGGAGTACTGTATCCAAATCTGGGGCCACCAACTACAAGGGACATGGACCTGTTGGAGGAAGTCCAGAGGAGGGCCACTAAGATAATTAAGAGGGCTGGAGCACCTCTCCTATGGTTGAGAGAGCTAGGGTTGTTCAGCCTGGAGAAGACTCCAGAGACCCCAATAGCAGCCTTCCAGTACTTAAAGGGAGTTGGACGTCTTGAGAGGGCATGGAGTGAAGGGACAAGGGGGAATGGCTTCAAGCTGAGAGTGTGGGTTTATATTAGATATTAGGAAGAAATTCTTCCTTGTGAGGATGGTGAGTCACCTGGAACAGGTTTCCCAGAGAAACTGTGGATGCCCCATCCCTGGAAGTGTAGATTTTTTTAGCAACTTTGTCTAGTGGAAGGTGTCCCTGCCCATGGCAGGGGCATTGGAACTGGATGGTCTTTTAAGGTTCCTTCCAACCCAAAGCATGCTATGATTCTGTGATAATGGCTTTATCTATGAGGAAACAGTGCACACATAACAGTGTGAAACTGGTCACTTCAGCTGGGGAGAGACCAGATGCAAGAGAGGAGCAGATTTCAGTCAAACTGAATTGGCTTGATACAAAGTCAAGGCAACACCACCAGAAGGCAAGACGGGAGTGTGCAGCTGGGGCTACCCAGAAATGAGCTTGGGGTGGATATCCTCATTGGCAGTTACTGCCTGTGATATTGTTGCATTACAGTATTTATATCACATTACCTTCAGTTTTCTGGGGACTAAAAATCCCTTCACTACTAAGGATTTTATTGCTGTTAGATTGCCTGCACAGGTCAATTTGCCTCTTTTATGATTTATGGTGTGAGTGGATACTTTGGTACTTTGCTGTTATAGCACCTCCTCGGAAAGGCTCGCTCCAGCCTTCTTTAGTCTGCTGTGGTGATTTTTGAGTAACATTTTAGGATATATATGAGGTGGGGCCTAGTATCGCAGATATAAAAGTCACCTTGAATACAATGAAAACCAAGGCAGTGGTGGGGAGTTGGTTGGTTTGTTTGGGGAGATTTTCTTTGGGGCTTGTTTGGGTTGTTTTGGGATTTTTTTAAGGTGTTGCTGGCCAGCCAGAGTTGTATATGTCTATACTTTTCCTGTCTTAAAAAGATAGCCATGGCCGCATAGCTGTGTAAAAATAAAAAATTGTATAGTAACTGTAACAATTTATATTGTTCCTAACTCTATAAAACACATAAAACACTTTCCTTTGATCAGTGAATTAGTAACATTCGATGACTTTCATTAATCTTTACATATCTTTCAATGCTTTCTATACTATTTCATTTTGTAATGATGTGCAAAAGAAGAAATAAACAGATTGCTAAGGAAAACCAAACACTGGCACAGTAAGAGCCTCACTACTAAAATAGTGATTACATAAAATTAGTTATTTTCAAGCCTCTGAAATACAGCAAAAGGAATTCCAGCCACTCTTTGTTTAGGTGTTTGTGGTATGGTTGAACTGATATGTAACAGATGCATACTGCTTAGAGAGCCTAGTTTTTTTTCCCTAGTGTTGACTTCACTCTCCTAAGCCTATTGTCACCTCAAGGGAACTGTTCCAGTGTTCCCTCTTTAAAACAAGTGTTTTTGTCCCTGCAGGGGAACCATTACAGCTGAACACCTATGCAGGAATGACAGGTGTTCTCTTAGAAAAGCAGCAGGACCAGGACTTGTTTGTCTTATCAGAAAAACTAATCACTGCAGTTTCTCAGTGAACCGTCTTCTCGTTATCACATACTGTTGCTTGTGTCCTTTATTTCACTCCAACCTTATCTACTATGTAAGTCTCTTTCTGTATTTTGTTCCACATTTTAAAGTGCTACAGGTTATTTAACATATACTGTCCCAGTACTAGTACAGTGTCATGGTTTAGAAATGGTACTCCCAACTCAGTGTTCCCACCAACCAAAACCACACTGCTGCTCTCTCTTGCTCCCTGCCCCCATTTTCCCCTTCCCCTTTCTGCTGTGGTGGGATGCAGTTGAGAGTGGGAGGCACAAAAGGCAAAGATCACAGATTGAGATAAGAACAATTTATTGGAAACAGCAATGAGATAAGAAAACCAACAATAACAGCAGCAATGTTAATAACAAGAGTGTACAAAAGACAGTGATTCACATGCAAAATGCTCACTGAGCCTGACCTGACCACAGCTGGCACCACCCCACCACTCTGGCTTGGTGCTGGTGCCACGCTACCCCAACTACTCTCTCCACCACGTTTTCTTGACCATAAGGAACCCCTTCTCCTTAGAAGAAAGAGTCCCTTTCCCCTGCCCCTGGCAAGGACGTGAGGGGTATGGAATAACTGCTTGGTTCTAATCATGCCCCCTCCCCACTACTGCAAAAAAATTACCCCTGTCCTGGCTGGAACCAGGACAGACAGCAGTATTGCTTCAGCAAATGATTTCATAGACCTTAGTCAAGGTGAAGATGGAATGTGAGAGTATCTTGAATCTTGTACAAATCACAGACCTGTAAATGAGAAAACTTAATTTGACAGTTTATTTAAAATGGCATAGATGTCAGACAGGGTTTTCGAGCTTTAGGTAATAAGGCTTTCAGACTTGAACTGACTGACCTCAGCAGCACACTTCAGCACATAGCTAGCTAGCTTTAAAATATCCACTGAGGTTAAGTTGTCTTGATTACTCATTTAGGTCTTCATTTGTAGTGTCAAAGTTATCAGTAAATTGAGTAGCTCAGGTTACCAGGGCTGTAGTGTTGAGGTCAGTACAGGCTGCAGGACCCAGGAAGTGTGAGTCAGAACACGCCAGTCTCTCTTGCTGTAACTGCTCTTGCTGACAACCCAGCCAGTTTGGTAACTCTAGTTTTAAAGTCTTGGACAGCAGCATATACCTCAGTAACTGAATATAGGATCTAAAGTTAAACGGTGTTCTCGGCAGTTCACGTTATGCAGTTTCAACATCCCATGTATCCCACAATGATTGTTGTATATGTATTTTCTGTGGGAACAAAAGGGAAGAATATGTTTAAAAATATCTATAAAACATTCAAAACATAATTAGTACTAGTTTTTAACATAAATGGTAAAATCAAGTAAGGAATATCTGAACTCAAGATTTCTGTTTTAAAATGGGCTCAATGCTTTCATGTTAAAAATTGAAGTTATATTTGGAGTGATTTAAGAAATAACATCCATGTAAAGTAAGCCCGTTATTCATGCAAAAATGACGATTTTAAATCTGAGTGTTAAGTCAGACAATTTGCTGAAGGATCATTCTTTTTTTGTTGCTCCAGAATTAGTCACCATACAAAATAAAAAGTTGACTCTTACTGACAAATAGACCCCAAATAAAGCATATAAAGTATCATACATGTTTTCTATTTTGGTGTAGTTTATTGGTAAATGTAGAAAAACTTGTCTACTATAATATAAACAGTTTAGTCCTTAAGTTATGGTTTTTTTCATGAAAGATTGACATTTTCTGCTTTTCCCAGATAACAGTAGCTAGTGTTGTCTTATCAGGGAAAAGGTTAGCTGCAGTTCTTTAAGTCATGGAGAAGATAAGAACAACTTTGAGTAATGGAGCAATGGTGCAACAAGGTCTTTGTGTTTGAGAAAAGATTAAAGAGTAAAGAACTTCCCAATATCCTGTTACAATCAGCCCTTTTCTTCCCCACATAACAATTTTGCAATCACTTAGAAGTATGAAGATGTTAATCTATATAGGTTTTTTCAGATAAATACGTTAATCTATACAGGTTATTATAAAAAGCTTAAATTCTTAAATTTTAAAATTAAAGCTGTCTGCAATATAGAGAATACTTCAAAATGATGTGGGATTTTTTGTAAGAGAAATTAAATTTAATATTTACTTTTTATTCTTCATGTGGGGTCTTATTTGTGACTCTGAGCCTTTTTTGCAGATATAATCCCTCTAATTTAATTTTTTCAAATATCTAAGAAAAGATACCCAAGAATATGTGTTAAAATCTCTATAAAAATTGAGTTGCATTTCTTGCACCTCTAAATGAGTATTTACCCCCTATCTAAGACAGATTTTCCTGATGTCAATGATGAATACATTATTGCACATAATGGTGGATAGGCCCAGTTAATTCCAGCTCTCTTGCTATTATTATTAGCAAGTATGTCCCATAATCCTTATCATAAGTTCATTTAGAACTGCTTTTGTAGCTGAAAGGGAATTTTACTCCCCTTTCATTTCCTTTCCTTATACCTGGCCTGCTAATGTTTTCCTTCTTTACAAACTGAAGCTATGTTTTTCTGCTTCAGAAACTGCTGCTTGAATTTAATGTCTGGACTACATATCTGGGGGAAGAGAGAAGAGCGAGCTCGTTGCTTCTGCTACCAGTACTAAAGCTGATTCTCCTTTCTAATTTTATCTTCATATTATTTTTGTTGTTGTTGTTGAAAATGAAAAGCATCAATTCTGCTCTTATTTTAGGATAAGTAGAATTTACTGAGTTTACTCCGTGATTACGTGGGTAAAAAAAAAAGAATCCAAAAGCAGGAGCTTTCAGAAATACTGTTTCTGGCCATATTATTTTAAATATACCTTTTTAAAATACCTGTTACTTTAAGTTCTTGCATTATCTTTTTTGAATAGCATTGCACTTAAGCTGATCTATTTTTCTTTCCTTCAGTAAAGAAGAAATTGTTAATGGTGTTTATTACTGTATCAGGTGAATATGTGAGTATTTTTCTTGCCAGTATTTTCTTTTATGCCTTGTGTTTCAGAAAGAGACAGCTATTATTGAGATGGGTTTTGTGTACCAGTGAATCTAGGAGAAATGGAGGGAATAAATAAACAGGATTAGGCAAGTATCATGGCAAAAGTGCTGTTCTTGTTACCTCATTCTATTCTATTGGTAGAGATTCTACATCACTTAGGATAATTTTTTGAAAACGTAGACCACTGGGGACATTGTGCAGGCTCTTGCAGAATGTGAACCATGAGAGAGGTCATGGTCTAGAAAAGGTAAATCTGGGAAATATCCCAGGGAAGTTGTTGATAAGTGTACTAGTGAAACTGTGACTATATTTGTATAATTTGCATGATTGGAGAGAAACAATAGAGGCAAAATACATAGACAGTAAACTTCAAGTATGAAAACAATGCTTGCAGAACATAAACAGGTCAGCAGGAAACTAGCATGAGTTTTTCCAATGTTATTTGAAGAGGTAAGTGTTAGTTTGAGATTCTGTATAAATCACATTCTCATCCGTATAAATCACATTCTCATCTTCTGTTTTCTGTTTGAGACCTGAATTCTTTTTCATAGCAAAATGTAACATCTCTGCAATTTTCCCAAGGGGCTATTTTGCCTCCTGGACACATCTGTACACCCAGTATCTCATTTTTGCATAGGGGGAATCAACTCAAAGGGGGAATCACTGCAAAGTTAGAGTTGTCATGTATCTTGTTTAATGTTTGTCAGCATTGAACTTCCTCAGCAATTCTTTTTTCACTCAGTATTTTCAGTAAATATTTTTTCAGCATTTCTCATCTTAACAGTCTGAACATTGTCAGCCAAAATTGTCATATCACAAGAAAACCACATCTTCTAGAACATTTATGAACAGATTTGCATTCGATGTTTCTACCTTTCTAGCAGTAGCTGCTCAGCTAAGTCTGTGAAAAGGGTAGCACAAATTAAATTTTTGTCCTAACAGCCTTCTTGCAAGTTTTCTTCAGCTTTTTGTTGTTTGACCCTTAACAAAATGTCACTCTAGAAATTTCAGAGGATTGTCTGAAAGAAAAATTGCCAAAATTCAGGAATGTCAGGATCTTCGGAACCTTTTCCAAATTGTAGACTTGTATATCTGTATGCTTCTCTGTCTTTACTTGTTCCTGATTTATCCAGGGAAACCAATTTTATCTTTTCACATCCTTTTTACCTTTCTTAGGTTAAACACTGGGTTATTTTTGTCATTTTAGGTCTGTATGAAATGTGATCTCTAATGGACAATATTGGAAGCATAATATTAAACAAAAGTTCTCACCTAAAAATCCCTTTACAATGAAGATGCTGAAGAAAGGTTCTGCTGCTTCTTTTGAGTTCTTTGAGGCTACTATATATCTAATATTTATACTACTTGAAGAAAATTAGACATTTGTCACCGAAAAGTGCAGAAAGACAATATAGATAAACTTGATGGATTCTTGGGAATGAGCATACCTATCACATAATTGCAGAAGCTGCAAGTTTAAGCTGAGTGCAGCATCTTTCAAAGGGAATTGAATTTCATACTGTCAGCAGTGTAACATAACTGATTACTTGGTACTTAATAGCAGCTTTAACTTAGAGGTACTAATTTAACATTTAGACTCCCATTAAAAAGATAAACACCTTTAAACTGACCACTCAGCTCACTTAACCATGGTGTCTGTTTAGTATGAAAGACTTTATGCATTTTTTTCCTCTTACTTTTGGGTTTCTGAGGCCCTGTCTAGTACTAAGCCTTAACAACTTGTCTACCTGAGACCTTAGGGCCACACAGAAGTCTCTGATGAAATTCAGGAACATTCAAAGCTCCTTATATAGCTAAAATTGCGTCAGATGACCCGTGAGAAACAGGTACCACTGCAAATTCAAGTTAATGTTAAGATTCCTGTCAGCATAGGCAATCATCTCAGCCCTTTCTTGCAAAGCAACCAAATAAAGTATTACTCAAACATCTGTCAGCAGAGACTTGAGGGTCTAACCCTCAGCTAAGCTAGAAACCTATAATGAAGGACAGCTGGTTCAAACTGCTTCTGCTTAGACAAGGCTTCAGCACTTCTTTGATATATTAGGAAGTCACATTTGTGACATTTGTGATATGATTTTCTAGAAACAATCTGTCCAACCTTATTTTTTGCAGTCTAACTCTTCTTCATTAGACTTTATTTATCTTCATATTATAAAAATTATCTGCACTCAAATGTGTTGTGTCTTTCTTTAAAACTGCTCAAATTTGCTGTGCAAGTTTTCATTTGTAAAGAAATTAAGTTTTTAATAGTTCTGAGATAAGCAGAAGCCTTCTGATCTCTTTTCCATATCCTTGTCCTGTACCAAGCCACTAGAACCCAATTCCTTCCTTTACTAAAATGGTAAATATTCTACTATTTATCCATAATATTCCCCGTGGCTTCTTCTGCTTTAATGTGTGTGCTTTCTATTTCAACCTCTTATCAGAGGGATGGGCTTGATTCCCTTAGATTCTCCTTCTTTTTGAGTATTCCAATGCTTTCAGAAGTTTTTCGAAGCTCAGGTTCACCTGAAAGCTGAGAACTAAGAAAAACCAAGATTTCACAGTGCATTTTCAAATGGGGTAAAAGAGGGAAGGTGAAGGGCTGTTTTTTAACAAAATGGTGGATAATCGTTGTCACCTCAATAGAAAGTATAACTGCTCTTGAAACAGAGTAATTTACTAGATAGTTCATTTACTTGGAATAAGGGTAAGTTGACTATAGTAGGGCCATGTTCTTGGTTCTGAGGAAAAAGTAACCCTAAGAATTGTTGACTGACTGAATGTAGATGAATGATTTTTTTTTCCAAGTCTCTAACCCTACATTCATTTTCTCATATCTCCAGGTATGGTTTTATGCTGCCTTGACCCATCTTATCATGTGTGAATATGACTTCCCGTAGAAACCTGAGGTACAGTGTAAGATACAGCTGATTTTGAGATGGTTGTTTTTCTTGTTGTTTTGTTTGCTTGTGGCTTTGTTTGTTTGGGGTTTTCTAACAAACTCTAAAAGTGTTTGTAAAACTTCTAAGGATTTTATGCAGACTTTTGGATTGACTGTATTTTAAATTAGAGTTTTTGTATGGCATTAGTACTTGAAAGCTAAAAGACTTTTAAACTACTTGTGTATTGTACTTTTGTGTGCTAAGGGGCTTTGCAATGTTCTGCTGTTGATGAAATAGCTTGAACAAGAACAGCCCTTACTTTAAGTGACCTCTTCTTATATTGAGTTGTTCAAAACTTGGTAGCATTTACTGACTTGCTTCCTAATGACATAAGAGCTAGTCTCCCTTATATTAAGAAAAGAAAATATTTCGTCATGTGTCTGGCAAACTTTTTTGGAGTGGTTGTTCCTGTAGATAGTTCATTCATATCTTTGCTGATGCAAAATAACTAAGTTAAGTAACGTATAAGTTTTGTCATCTTCCTCAGACATGGTAATAAAAATATATTTTAAGCAATAGAAGAAGATGTCACTTTTCAACATAAAACACTTTTCTCACTAAAAATTTTCTAACTCTCCTAATTGTTGAGGGGTGTGCAAATCTATTTCTAAATATAGTACTGATTGAAGACCCAAAATTGGTTACAATAAACATGTTAATGTAATTTTTTTACCTACTCTAATGTACAATTTACTCTATCAGTCTTGGTGCTGTGACCACTTCCCTGGGGAGCCTATTCCAGCACTCAATGACCCTCTGGGTGAAGAACCTTTTTTCTAATATCCAAGCTAAACCTCTCCTGACACAACTTCAGGCCATTCCCTTGGGTCCTGTCACTGGTCACCACAGAGAAGAGATCAATGCCTGCCCCTCTTCTTCCCCTCATGAGGAAATTGTAGACCATGATGAGGTCTTCCCTCAGTTTCTTTTCTCTGGGCTGAACAGACCAAGTGACCTCAGCCACTCTTCATACGGCTTCCCCTCAAGGCCATTCACCATCTTCATTGCCCTCCTTTGGATGCTCTCTAGTAGCTTAATGTCTTTCCTGTATTGTGGTACCCAAAACTGCACACAATATTCAAGGTGAGGCTGCCCCAGTGCAGAGCCCCTCCCTCAACCAGCTGGCGATGCTTTGCCTGATGCCCCCCAGGACATGGTTGGCAAGGAAGGCCTTGGCTGGTGCAAACAGTTTATAAGCATTAGTCAGGCAGTCTAATCCAGCATTGTGTCTTTAGAACATTTAAGTTAATTTTCCTTCTAATTAAGTAAACCTGAAGTATGTCAGTGAACTTTACCTTCCTGGAATTGAAACATAGAACATAATGTGAGTTGACTGAATTGCTCGCTAATTGAAGCAATCAGTCAAGATAATGAGGGAGGATTTTCTAGTTAGTGGTGGTGGTTGGGGGATAGAAGAGACATTCAGAAACTCATTGAAAGTAGAAACATGATTAGGGGTACAGACTTGGGAGGATTTGTGTTAGGGTTGGCAGTGAAGAAGTTGTACACTCTTCACTCAGGAATGAAATTTGAAAACATTGTTGTTTATGTCTGTTGTACTGAGCTGTTTTATACTCTTACTAAGCAAGTTTTTCTGATATATGGCAACCATAGAATTACTATTGACTTAAATTAGAAAAGTAACTGCAAGTTCTAATTTAAATTGAATTGTCACTTCAGGGTGGAATTTTTACTAGCTTGCTGTAGTTCTTACACGTATGTGATCTGGATGGTGTTCAGCACTCATTAATCACTTTTGCATACCCATTTACAGCTGGATTTTCAGATCTGGTTTTAAAGTTCATTTAACATGCCTTCCAGAAAGTAAATATGTCAGTAAGTTTTGGTTTGTTTTACATACTCATTCTTCTGGTGGTTTAACTTAATACAAGTCTATACTGCATTCAAACTTTATTCAGAGTTGGTCAAGACTAGTTTCATTTCAGATTACGGAAAGTAATTCAGGAACACCTGGAGCTGAGATTTATATCCTTACCTAAATTTCGAAAGCACTGTGTTTTTATAGCTCTTCAGAGGAAAGACAGGAACTACATTAACACTTGTTAGAGCAACAGTTAATGCAATGCTGACTAGAACTTAAAGCTCTCAAATATTAATATTAAAATGTCAAAAAAATAAGGGGAGGGAGACTAAGTTTAAATATTTGTTCTTTAATGAAGGAAATTGCTTTTTCTCCTTTAAGAAAAAAACAGTCATGTTATTTGAGAGACGTTATAGTGATGTGAACAAGGCTTGCTTCTTTATTTTCTTCTGATCTGGTATTGAAAGTAAAGACTCAAGTCCTCCTGGAAGTTATTTCACTAGAATAAGTATGTGCAGATTTTAAATCCTCACAGGTTATGTACACCAGTCGTGAACTTGGAAACTGGTTTATTTCTCAATTGAAATATCGCATTGAACGTTACCTTGTGCTTAGCTTTTTCTTGTGGCAGATTCAGACCCGGTATGATGGAAACCTAGATTTCAAGTTGCAAGGATTTGAAAACATCTAACTTTGGTTTTAGTGGTTTTGTGTAGTAATGTGTTATAATTTAGAAAATTTGTGTCTACATAAAGTTGTACTCATATTTAAATCCTCCTCCAGACATGGTGAAAATGACACTCTGTGTGGCCTCAGATCCCATAATCTACATGATATAATTCCCTTGCTTAAAGTAGATAGTAGAAGGCCACTAATTATAGAAATTCTGGCACATTTCAGCACTCCAGGCTGCTTTTCCAAACTGTAAAATAGTGAAATGATTCCATCTTTTACTTTCTTTAGAAAAGTTCAATCGGCTGGAATTGTCATTCGTCACTGACAGCACTCGGGTGATAAATCATATTCTGCCATTTCTCTGAAGAGTATAAAACCATTCCAGCACTACATCTGTTAAGGATATAGTGCTAGTCTTTCCATGCAGCAGAATTTTGAAGATTTAATCATAACAGCACCATTTAGAGGTGTCTATTCATGTATTTGAATCTTTTGACTAAGAAAGATTGGTTGCTTCATGAATGAGAAAGAAATATATCTTGGGATAATCTCTTCTATCCAAGCTCTTTTATCTATAAAATGGGATTTTGAGATATACTTGTTTAAAATAGCTTCAGGAACTTGAAAGCAACAAGCATTTCCAGTATTTCTGCAGCTGTGTGAAATGTTTTGCACGTAAAAATGAAGGTGATCAATTATGATTACACAAAAGGGGCAAGCAAATTCTATTAAGACTGTCAGCAGAAGTAGGTTTTGTAACTTTCTTGAGAAGGATAAAACTTTTTCTGTTAAAAGCACCACAAAATAAATGAAAGTTACATATTTGATTTTTTAATTTTTTTTTCTATGATGCTGTGATGCATTATTTTTATCTGCCTCCCTAAATATGTTCTGGAGAAAACCAAATTTTTTCAAGTATTAGAGTGAACTAATGAAAGTTGACTAATCTGTCTCTAGACAGACTGTACTACCTTCTTCCCTACTGCTTAAATCCCCATGACTCATTTATGCATTGTCTTGTCTCCTCTCCCTGTGTCCTTTTCTGCCCTTAGCCTAGTTTGTGCTATTAGTAGGTCTTACTCCTTTGCTGCCAGTGTGGCCCTACTTGGCATGCTTTGATTTGGATTAGACCATGTAGGCTGAATACCTGTGAGTAGTTTGAATGTTTTAGTTCCCCAAACTCAGCAGTTGACAAACTGTTGTTTTTGTTAAATTTGATGAATTTAACGTTCTGAAGGTATCTGTAAATGTGCCAAATATGTGACAAAAAATGAAATCTAATTGCTCTTGTGAGGCTACCATGCTGTAAGTGGGAAATTAGTTTGATAGTATACTTTTATCATCTTATCATGGTTTGTAATTTCACACTGTGACTGTAGTTTGGACAAAATGACAAGCATTAATGTAATTTGCAACGTTACAGACTGTTGGAAAATGTTTTCAGAGAGAAATATTTTCTACTATTTCTCAAAATTTTATGCTTAGAGATGCCTTGCTCTTTTTGACGTGTGTTTATTATTCATATATTTTTCAAGAACTGAAATGTTTTCACTGATTAAATCATCATATGTTCTCTTCCTTATGATGATTATTTTTAAGAAAACATACATCTAATTTTTTTTGTAACGTTAGCTGTGGTTTATCTGATATATTTTATCTGAATATGAACAAATATGTTGCCTTATAAATTAGAATAACAGGAGTGTTCAAAGGAGTTATTAAACTAAGTTTGAAAAAAGTTGGCATCAACTTAAGTTAGGATGCCTAAGCACAAAACTGTCTCTTAAGAGCCACCAGAATTTGAAAGAAACATTAAAATTTATATAATCTAGAGCTCCACAAACTTGAACATATGTTTGTGTCCAGTCCTAAACAGTACTGAGAAGCATTTCAAATAGTCAGCATCCAAACCCAACCAGCTCATTTACATATATTTCCTTCAGACTTGGTCTGTTAGACATCCTTGGAGTCCACTTACTGCACTGATCTGCTTGTAAGATAGGTGGCAGGATTGGATGAGCGGAAGGCTGTGGATGTATTTTACCTGGACTTCAGCAAAGTCTGTCTCCCATGGTATTCTTCTGGAAAAGTTGTCAACCCACAGCTTGGACAGGTGCACTCATCTCTGGGTTAAAAACTGGATGGATGACTGGGCTCAGAGTGTGGTGGTGAATGGAACTAAATCCAGTTGTTGGATGGTCACTAGTGATGTTTCCCAGGGCTCAGTATTGGGCCCAGTCCTGTCTAATATCTATCGATGATCTGGACGAGGGCATCAAGGACACCCTCAGGAAGTTCACAGATGATACTAGAGGGTGGAAGTGTTGATCTTCAGGAAGGTAGGAAGACTCTGCAGAAGGATGTGGGCAGGCTGAATCGATGGGCCAAGGCCAGTTGTCTGAGGTTCAACAAGGCCAAGTGCTGGGTCCTGCCCTTGGGTCACAACAACCCCCTGCAGTGATACAGGCTGCGGGAAGAGTAGCTGGAAGGCAGCCTGGCAGAAAAGGACCTGGGAGTGCTGGTTGACAGTGGCTGAAGATGAGCCAGCAGTGCGCAGGTGGCCAAGAAGACCAATGGCATCCTGGCCTGTATCAGCAGCAGTGTGGCCAGTAGGTCCAGTAAAGTGATTGTCCCCCTGTACTCGGCACTGATGACGCTGCACCTCGAGTTATGTGTTTTGGGCCCCTCACTATAAGAAAGACATTGAGGTGCTGGAGCATATCCAGAGAAGGGCAGCAAAGCTGGTGAAGGATCTAGAGAGTAAATCATATGAGGAGCATCTGAGGAAGCTGGCGTTGTTTCATCTGGAGAAAAGGAGTCTCAGGGGAGACCTTATTGCTCTCTACAACTACCTGAAAGGAGATTGTAACAAGGTGTGAGTTGGCCTCTTCTCCCAGACAACTAGCGACAGGATGAAAGGAAATGGCTTCAAGTTGTGCTAGGGGAGGTTCAGTTTGGACATCAGAAGGAATTTCTTCATGGAAGGGGTTGTTAAACACTGGAATGGACTGCCCAGGGATGTGGTGGAGTCACCGTCCCTGGAAGTGTTCAAGAAACAATTGGATGTGGCACTTAGTGGTCAGGTCTAATTGACAAGGTGGTGATCGGTCAATGGTTGGACTCAATGATCTTGGAGGTCTTTTCCAATCTAAATGATTCTGTGATTCTTTGACTTGCCTTTTGTGTTATGGCTTAGGACATGTAGTATTTTCCTCAGCAGTAGGAATGCAAATATGTGCCTCCCTTTCAGGGACTGTCTTAACCACCAATCTGTAGTTCACATAAGGAGTGGGGGTTTTGTTTTGTTTTGTTTGTTTTTTTCCCCCTTCACAATTTTGTGGTTCTTATTGCATCATATGTACAGTTGCAAGATAAGCAGTCTTGGCAAAAGCAAATGTAATGTAAACTGCATCTCTGTGAGCTCCCTGATGCCTAGACCAGAATTTCATGGATTTTTTTGTCATTATGATCCAGACATTTTCCTCTGGATTACTTTATAAACATCATCACCATGGGTGTTTTAAACGAGAAAAGTGTCTTCCTTCCAATAATATGTAGGTACTTGTAATTTGGAGGTTGTTTTCATCTGTGATCAAAAATAGAGAGAGGTATTTTACTGCAGGTAAAACATCTAAACCACAAAGAAGGTTTTATATAATTGGCTTATTCCAGGGAGCAGCTTAAAGGAAGGAAGGAATAGCTGGTGTCAGGGAGGAAATGCATGGGAACATCTTAAACTGGCTTTGCTGTCTGAAGACAAGACAATGTGTCGTGTAACTGCACTTTAATACAGATGTTTGGATTCCTTTGTATTTCTTTGAGGGAGGAGCTGGTCAAGTGCTTAGGTAGTTCTGCAACACCTCTAAACTTTTTAGATGTGAAATTACAATCTATTGGACTGTTGAGTCCTTCACAGTCCCTGTCAAAATTATGTAGACTCACCAGTACAAAGAAAATGAATTGTTATAATGTATTTTAATACTTTTCCATATAGTCCCGAACGTAGCTGCATATTGTCCTACCCAGCAATTAAGGTATTAAAGTAAGGTTATATATGAAAAAAAAAACCCAAAACCTAACAAAAACCTGTTTATATATGAATCAAATTATTAAGTACTTTGGAGACAAGTCTGTGGGTTACTTTTTTCTTTTTTCCTTTTCACTCCAAGAACAGCTTGAAAACAAAAGCATAAATTCATCACCCTTGGCCAAAGAGTTCATATTCAGAAAGGCATTTTGGGGGGGAATTAACCCTTCTCCCTGCCATTATGCACTTGGATCTCAAGTGCGTACCACATACTTTGCTGACCTGGGACCTCTGTCAGCACATAAATACGGAGGAAAACAGGTAAGATTATAAAGTGAGTTTTAAATAATTGCTTAATGTTGAAGGGTGGGAACGTGGGGGAACGTTGCTTAAGGAAGATCAGTGTATGATAGATACTTGCAGGTGGTATGTGCGTGTATTTGCTGTTGTCCTTCTTGAGAAGTCCTTGCCAAGAGAGATTATATGCATCAAATTACGTTCCCCCGATTTCATTTAAAATTAAACTGTTTTATTCATTTGTCTACATTCAAATGGCATAAACTCAATTGAAATGAGTTTGCTACCTTTATTTGCAAAGAGCACACTTTATCGTTCGACTTTTCTCTGAACTATTTAATGGTTTCTTTTTAATGTTTTATTTTCTTTTTAGTTGTCTTTTGAATACGTGCTCACCTGCTTCAATGGATTCAAAGCTACTAAGAAAAACACCCCTAAATATGTAACAGATGCAGAGGTGAATATAAGTGGAAACAGTTGAATAAGGGAAGCAGACCCAGAGCTGTCATCAAGCTCTTCACAGTCACTAGATTTTTTTTCACCTGCTCATGCAGTGCTTGCTCAAGACCTGTTGGCAGTGACTATATATTTCATCCCTCACCATTTTTTCCCCCTCTACCTCAGAGGCTTTTTCTGGAAGTTTGTGACTGTATTAGATTCATCCTTAAATCCTGCTAAATGTGCTAAACAATGTAAAGTGGTTGCCATTAAAAAGACAGGTTTATGTGCTGCCGATCTTTTAACTCAAGCCTCCTTCTAAAGTTTGTCCTTGGAGATTCTGTGGAATCCTTCCAACTTATGAGAAACTGGTGTGGAATGGTGCATGTCAGCTTGGTGAGAGACCACTGAAGGGCTGGGAGTTCATTGGTTTGTTTTTCTATACAAACAAAATGAATTTCGTGAAGAAGTGGTGCAGTGTCTTGAGTGCAGTGTCTTGAGTCTGTGACATGGTAATCATAGAGATACCATGATCATATGTGTAAACTTGAGAGCAAAAGGAACGGCATTTATATTTTTTCAAAAGTGTTTTTGAAAGCAATTGATGCTTGCTGTTCTCTTGTTGTTCCATATGCGAGAAGCGAGTTTACAGAGATTTTTCTAGATGTGTGAAGAAATTTCTGGGCAAGATGGCTTTAAGAAAGGTGCAGAGATGTTTTGATTTGATTATAAAAATAAGTATTCCAGAAATGATAATTTCATGTGCATTCCTTTTCTTCCAAGAGTGTTCTCAGATTCCTTTAAATGCATCAGGCTTTCTTACCTTATGTACTTTGTGGATACAAAAAAGGAAAGTAGAGGCTTTCAAAACAAGCTTAGAATCTAAGTGATGTGAAATAATAAAGTCAGTTGCATTCTTCATTGTGAATTCCATTTGTTGGTTGCAATAATGTAGTTGGACTGTAACTTATGGAAGGAGGACCTTCTTGGTGGCACACCAGCATGATTCTATTAAGTTAAAACAGAACACTTATAAGGGATTTGTCAGTTCAGTTTCACTTAAGTTCTGCTACGTGTCCTACAGTGCTTGGCAGTACAGTGCTGGAGAGTGAAATAAGCTATAAAAACAGTTATCTTTTTAGGGGCTTTTTCAAGGACACATGATACGAATGCCTCTGTTGGCAGCATAGAGAGCATATCCCCAATTCCCTACCAGAGAGTACAGACAGAAAAACAGTTTTGGTCTCCTTTGCTTTCTCTGTCCTCTTTTCTCTATCCCACGTGAAGTGAAATGCAGTACTCCCACAGTCACAGCATTTTTTCCCAGCTAAATTAAACAATAGCATTTCTGCAACTGATGGTGCACATTCAAAGGTGTTTTGTAGTTTGTGGTGCTTATTGAATTGATCTGTCTGTGTTCAGTATGACTTTGATTTTCTTTCCAGAACTGAGCTACTGAGTCCTCTACTTTTTATTCAACAGACCACTTGAAACCACACATATTTCTTTTTTACGCAATCTAGTGGTCACTTGCCTGTACAGAGACAGAACAGGACAGTAGTGAAAGTTAGTTGGTTGGTTCATGTTATATTGTGCAATTCCTTTCCCTCTGCTTAATATAAGCCTCTAAATATATAGTTCACCTAGCTCTGCTGTAGAGAGACCGGTTTCTCTGTTTGTGCGTGAGTGCTGTGTATCGGGCATATAGACAAATTATAAGTAGAACTTTATTCTCCTTTGTTTGCAGCCTCATTAATTCTATATGGTTCAGAGTTTTAAGTGTGCATAGAAGTAACCATTCACTAAAACACATGCACCCAAGCAATCTAGATGGTAACTGTTATTTGTTTTTATGCCAGTGCTATTAAAATAAAAGGAGTGATTTATTAGGGATGAACAGAGTTTTTATGGCCATGTCAGTCTTGCACAAGTTTATAAGGTTGTTTAAGTATCAATACTCACAAGTTTAACTCTTTGTTTTATTATGTGTAAAGAAGTCTGGAGCAGGTCATTCTTTGCACAATAAGTGAATGGTATTTAAGAGAATATTAAAGTCCCGTTATTTGAGGAAATGGCTTGTTGGATTTTCTTTAAAGTGTCTGACCTCCTGTACAGCCCTTAATTCAACTAATTTATTATTTTTTATGCAATATTTTTGTCTGATATGTATCACTATTGTGTGAGAATATCCTTGTGTCAAAGGAAGTTTAGCAAAGTGTTAGCAAAACAGTGAGCATGTTTGTAATTTCTCTCAGGGATACAGATTTGTAATTGTTTGGTGTGATACATTTTCTGGACACCTGCAGAAATTATAACAAGAAGGAAGGGAGGCAGAAAGAAAACTTGTTTTGGGGTGTTGATCGTGATACAGAATTAATGCTACTGCTTGGTCTATTCTTGTCTTTTCATTCATAATTTTCTGTTGTTTCAAGCTGTACTGAAAAGGAGAGAGATAAATAGATAAAGACATTTACATATGTAGAAAATATAAAGAATAATATATGTGAAGAAAAACACTTCAGTCTATGAAAACTTTTGTCTTGCTTAGACAGTTTAAATATTTGATGAGCAGTTAGACAGTTTAAATATTTAATAAAATACTGTGATCTTATGTCTTTTGAATAGTGTCTAAATAAATTAACATTGTGGGGTATAGCTAATTACTTTATTAATTAATGCTTTGATCTTTGTAAACATTCTCTAATGTGCAAAAATGCAACTCTTCTGAGAAAACTGCCAGTAAAATAATTTGAATTTAGAAGTCACAGAAAAGACAGGAATGACTGCTCTTATAAGGCCTGATACTGCACCACTGAAGTCTGTGGCAATATTGTCTTGTGCACCAATCACTTAACTTTGAATAAACTGTACAATTTCTCTTTAAAAGACCACCACAGTCATTTTATATTTAGGAGAATTTGAAGGCTCAAACTATGTTTGGGAGTCTCAGCAGAACAAAATTGTAACTTTTAGGAGGAATGCTTAAAAAATAAATCCTTTAAAGAAGGTTACTGGTTTCTGCATCCTGAAAAACTGTTCAATGTCCAAGAGAATAGCACTGAAGGTATTGTGTGTGCCACTAATACAAGCAACATGTAGAAAGTAGGAATTTTCCTGAGATACACGTAGGAATAAGTGCAAAGTCAAAGCCCTAAAGCAACTCAGAATTACTTAGCTCTCTTGACGTCTACAGCTTTTCTTAATAGACACTACTTTTACTTACCTGAAAGTGGTTATTCTTACCTTGACACACATATATAAAACTTTTATGAGTTTCAAGAATCTGTGAGAAATTATGCAAGTATACTGTGGAGAAAAAGGACACAAAATCCCCTAAAGGTGGATGTTTAAATAATACAGAGAAATCAAATCCTTATTGAACAGAGCGTGGAGCCATGGTCCTTTCAGACACACTGAGTTGAGAGCTCTAAAATATTAAAGTGATTTCTGATCTCCAGCTCTAAAGCAATAAAAATAGATCTTCATATTTTTATGTATGAATACTGGGCTTATATGATAATAATGGCCATCAGGAGGATGTTGCACATTTGCAGACCTGCCATTTTCAGTGCTGATATGCTACCCATATGTTTCCTTCTGCAGTTTTGAGACCACTGAGGTTGTATAACAGCAGCTCTTGTTCATCCAACCTTTGAGTAATCTTCTTCAGCTGAGTACAAGCATGGCAGTCAGGACTTGTCTTGAAGGATTGCTTTGAAATCAGCTGTCACAGTTTGCTCTTTGTGGCACAGCAACTTAATTCTGTTCTGTTCTGAATTAAAGGAAAGCATAAAGTGTCTTGAAGTAGTTTTAAAAGTAGGGGAAAAAAAAGACCTTTCATAACAGGTGGCATTATGCTTGATTCATGGCTTGGATATCTTTGGAAGAAGGGCAATGTAGTAACAGAGATGCTCGTTTTTAAAATTAATTTTTTTAGAGTAGATTTTTTTCCATGACAAACCCGCCTTGTTATTATCTCTGCACGAATGAATGATGAATTAAAAAAAAATAAAAAGGGTAACATGAGGATTGAGAAGCATTCTTTGAACTGGAAGTGATTTTGTCAAAATCTTGAAGGGTGGTATTTGTTTTGACTTATAGCTTGCAGTTTTTTATTGTTAATTTTAAGGACACTTAGTTCTCAGCTTGCCTTTATTACATAATATCAGCTTTCCGTTTTATACAGCCTGACAAAAAATATTGGAAAATATATCTAGGAACATGAAACTTTGCACCTGCTTTTTAACATCAGATAAACTTTTGTAGGCAACTACAGAGGAGTGCAATCCCTGAATTTGTTATTCTCTAAAACCAAGCAAGGTATTTGATAGATTTGAGGGAGTCTTGCAGAGCAGAGCCCTTAGAGATGCCCTACAAATGATTCATTATTTATGGCCTAAACCTATTTTCTCCATAAATTCCTATTCAGACAGTTATTCTGATAACTATGTTAACTGACAGCATGCCTGTAATAAATGTGGATAGAGCCTTCCTTAATCTTCGTTTGCGAAGCCTAGCCATGAAAATGTTAACTGAGTGAGTAGAAAGTATTATTGCAACAATAAAGCTAAAC